ATTTATCTAATTCAATTCACAAATTCAAATAATGGTAATTTTTTAATTTCCATGTTCTCTTTAAGTGTCTAACAGTTTTAGCTGTGCCACCTTAAAGCTCAGTCCACCTTAAGCCATACTAGGCTCAAGTAGGCACCTGGTGTAGCTCCTTATGCTCTCCTACAGTATATAGACAGTATATATATAAGTCACTGCTCCTCATCCCTTAATCCTGTGCAGAGAGTTACTTTGAGATACTTATTAAATGAATGGGTTCACTGACTGACTTTGATGTTGCCTTCTTTTGATTACTGGAACATTTCCTGGGTTGTTTGTGACTGAGGAAAAAGATAAATGAGACGGCACGGCTCAGGAGGTAAAGCAGTCGTGGAGCAATCAGGAGGTTCCTTATTCATTCCCCACCTCCTCCACAGAGAGGTGTCAAGTGTCCTTGAGTAGGTTGGCACCTTGCATGGGTGCCTCTGCTGTGTCTGAATGGATGAAGGTTGAGGTGCTTTCAAGAGCAGGCCAGATTTTGACTGGGGTGGCACAAGAGGGACACTGATTTATGCAGGTGTGGCATGAAGTTTGTGTCTCAGCTTTCCAGTCATTCCCAATTTATGCAATTATAACCCTGTTTAGGACCCCAGTATGCAGAAATCTTCAAATGCAGTAGGCGAAAATTACACATTTATACCACATTAAAGGAACTAAATGGCCTTTGCCTAAGACTAAGTGGGATTTGCACAAAATGGGCATTTCTGCATAGGATAGACCCATATTCATTTAGATATCTAGAGGTCAGAGGTCAAGGGATCCCCTTGAAAATGGCTGTGCCAGTTTTTCCATCGCCAAAATTTAGCCTAACTTTGGAGTGTTATGTTAGCATGACATGGTAACCACAGATGGGTTAGGTCAACTAGTTTATATTCATATGATACCAGTATCTTCACTCTAGCTTTAAAACAAGTGAAAGAGGTTAATGGGGTGACACTTTTTAGTTTTTTAGTAGTAGTAGTTTTTACCCTTGGAAACTGGATCTGTATTTTATTGGTTTAAATAACACTGTGTGAGATTGTTCCCCAAACCCTGGTCACA